GAAGGGGTGGGGGGAGTGTACTCGCAAAAACCAGCCGCCACCCTCCTCTCTCCTCTCTCTCTCCCTGCAGCATCTGTCGTTGCGGGGGAAGTAGGGGGGTGTGAGGGAGTGGCGAAAGGATTCTGCCGAGCCAGCAGCCGCCCCGCTTCCTCTCTCTCTCACTGCCGCGCGTGCCGCTGTGGGGGGGGGGGGGTGAGGCGGTGGCGGAAGTCAGCCAGGCATCTGCAGCTGCTGCCCACTGCTACCGTGGCACCTCCTGCTGCCGCCTCTGCCTCTACCTGCTGCTTCTTCTGCTGTCTGCTACTGTTGAACGGCAAGTGCTGTCGTTGAGCCCTGTTGTGCCGCCGCACGTTATCGCCGCACGCACCCGCTCTCCAGGCGATCTGCCGCCACATGCGCCTGCTTATGCTGCTTCTACCTTGGCTGAGAGGTTGGTGCAGCTGAATCTGCCTCCACTGCACTGGTTGCCACTGCTCTTGCCTACTGTTGCTACTTTCTCTATTCGTGGTGTACCAGGCCTCTGGATAGGATTTGGGGTACTCTTTCTCGTAAGGCCAACACCCAGCTTTCACTCTTTCAGTAAGGGTGCTTCACAAAAACTGCTCTTAAATATCAGGATGCAAACTAATCACAAATATGGCCTAGTATGTTAAATCTTTAAACTACGTAGGATGTTGGTGTTCCAATGTGTTGAGACATGATAGTTGTGTGAAGGACCCAAGTTTGATACCCAGCGCGGGCATCTGACCCGCAATACATGTTTTACGCGATTAATATCTGTATCCTTTCGTAGATCGAACTCGATTTCATCAGTGCTAATACACCACATAGCTCTGAAAATTCAGTGTCGTATAATCGATCGCTTTTTTTTGTAAGGGTCTAAAACAAAACCAGTATTGTAAAAAAGGGTGCATGGTCTGTCAGAATATTATGCTCTAGCCTGTAGTGGGGTGCTCTATAGCGAGTACAACTCTTCTAGGGTTTTGCTATTTGTATCCCCATTCTTGCTAGTGCAATCCTCTTCTTTCTTCTAAACTTTAACATGCTATCAGAGCAGGTCGATCCCCTTGGATCGATCCTGTGGGTGGGCTCACCACCTTGTTGCTTCCGCTGCAACTGCTACTGCTACTCTCTGTGCCGCACGCCCCGTGGCGTGCGGCAGTTTTTCTTCCCGCCGTGCGCCCCGAGGCGCGCGGCGGTTTTCTGCCCGCCGTGCGCCCCGAGGCGCGCGGCGGTTTTCTGCCCGCCGTGCGCCCCGAGGCGCGCGGCGGTTTTCTGCCCGCCGTGCGCCCCGAGGCGCGCGACGGGTTTCTGCCCCGTCACTCGCCGCGTCGCCCCCGGGAGGCGCTGCGACGGGCGACGGGGACCCGTCGCGCCGCCCAGGGGAGCCGCGCGCGGCCCCTGCTGCCCCGTCGCGCGGCCCTGCTGCCCCGTCGCGCTGCCCAGGGGAGCCGCGCGCGGCCCCTGCTGCCCCGTCGCGCGGCCCTGCTGCCCCGTCGCGCTGCCCAGGGGAGCCGTGCGCGGCCCCTGCTGCCCCGTCCCGGACCTGCCCCGGCCCCGACCTGCCCCGGCCCCGACCTGCCCCGGCCCAACTCCCGTCGCCCGTCGCGGCGCCCTGGGGGGGGCCGTCTACAGGGGGCCGCGCGTTGCCCCCCCCCCCCCCTACCTCCCTACCCTGTTTTTAGGGTTTGGGGGGTGGCGGTTGGGGGGTGGCGGTTGGGGGGTGGCGGGTGTGTGGCGTCGCCTGCTCCTCCTCCTCCTTCGTCTCCCACTGCTGCAGCTCTCGCTGAGGGGGGTGGATGTGTGGGAGTGTACGGAGTGGTGCTAGGGGGGTGGAGTGTGAGTAGAGCTAGGGTTTGAACAGGGGGTGTGTGAAATGGGGGTCGGACAGTTGGGGGAGGTTGAATGGAGGCGGTCGTCGTGTCGTCAGCAGCAGCAGCAGTCCGGAGGCTACAATCTCCGGTAGTCGCCAGTCGCCCGTGGGTCCGTTGCTCGTCTGCCGCTACTTTTAGCCGCGGGGCCAGTTACCCCAGTAGTCCGGAGCGCTGTTCCGGTAGCCACTGAGCCAGCAGCTCGTCTGTGTGTCTGCAGCGTCAGCAGTCGCCTCCCATCTTCTCTCCCCCACAGTCTCTCCTCCTCCTCACTTGCCCTCTGTGATAGCCTCTAGCTTTGCTTATATTTGTTAACTATAAAACTGCTACCTCTTGTACTTGTGCTCAGAATGTGTGGTGACATTGTGATCCACCCTGAGCTTGTTTTCTTTTGCACGCTCTGCTGATTACACCCCACTTTGGCTATGGGGGTGTGTCAGAATATTATGCTCTAGCCTGTAGTGGGGTGCTCTATAGCGAGTACAACTCTTCTAGGGTTTTGCTATTTGTATCCCCATTTTTGCTAGTGCAATCCTCTTCTTTCTTCTAAACTTTAACATGGTCAAACCCAACCTTATAGTAAGTGTCATAAGGGTGAATCACCCTGATATCGAGAGGGCTGTGGTGTACCCATCCAGGAGGTGTTGCTGCACAAACTCATATTGCCAGTTACGACTGTGGATGTACTCACCTTATAGGTGTAATGCATCCTTAAAAAAAAAAAAAAAAAAAAAAAAAAAAAAAAAAAAAAAAAAAACTCATATTGCAGGCAGTTTTGGGGGAGTGTTGGAACATATATGTAACTGGTAGTGTCCTTAGTTGATAAATACACGACTGTTAGATGGTTAAATCGAGACAAGCTAAGGCATATCCATGGTGTACATAATCTAGGTAGGAATGTTAGTATAGTTATAATTTACGTGTGAAGCCTTTTCTGAATCAGCCAGCACACTATTGCACCTTAATTCATGCGTTCTTCTGACACGGTATCACAATAACGAGGCCTCTCGATCCGAGCTTTCGAACTTCGAAACAAACCCCACCGTGTATTTCGGCAGGCAGCAATGATGTGCACTCACCGCCGTCGATCTGGATACTGGCGCCCTGGTGACGCGGAGCGAGCCCCCAGAAGGTCCCCTATCTTGTCGTTTCTGCAGCGAAACCCTCGCTTTCCCTCCGCCTTGCTGCTGGTGTTCCCCTCCAAGCCACTCTTCTGCCGAGGCCTCACCTTACCAAACCCCACCGCTCTCCCCTTCCCCTTCCGGCAAGCCCAAGGGTCTCCCGTGGTCCCTCCGGGAACTCCCGATTCCCGTCCCGAGTCCCTCCCAGCCAGCCCACCCATCCCAACCTCCAGTCCCCTTCCCGCTCCCCGCTTATCCCATCCGCTTTTCATTTCACCGCTCAGTTTTTCCGCTCCTTGTTTTCCATTCCGCACTGCCGGTTAGCCGCAGAGCTCCGTGTCCCCTCCTCCCCTGGAACACTGGCGCGCGGACACTAGGACATGCCCAGCAGTCTGCACATGGCTTCCCTTTCGGCATGAGGCGCGAAGCCGAAGCGGGCCCGAATCCTACTGCAACGGATCAGTGATTTTTTAGCTGCCGAATAGTGAGTTACAGCTCGGTGGATGTAGAAGCTACTAGACTATGTCGGCTATTGTGAATGCTAAATAGGTTGCTCGAGCGCTAAACACGGATCCTCCTAACTGTGGGAAGGACCTCGTTCTGGCTGTTTGCTCGCATCCGTATTTTTATTTTAACTAACACTTGCTTTTTTCTCTGCATTGTCTCCCTCCCACGTCGCTTTGTATATTTGTCGCTTGACATCGTGGGATCCGTGTGTGGTTTCGTTTGATCAGTTTTCCTTTGTGCTCATTAACGTGTACTCGTGCTGTTTTACCTATACCTGCTTCGTGAACGTGTGTCTTAGATCTTCGATTCACTTCGTCTACTCCAGCGTGCTCTGTTTCGTTCCTCGCTCTGTTATTGTGATTCATATCCCTTCCGTGTACTGCGTGCATCGTAGGCCTTCTATATATTTTTCTTTCGTCTTGGCGGAGGCAGCCTGAAGCAGCATGATTGAAACGGCACCACGTAAAGCAATCTTAACATTTTTTGTTTTCTTCCCTTGTTTATCTATCTGTGTGACAGGTTTTGTTTCTCCTCCTTTCTCATCGTAGGAATCCCAACTCCTGCTCGTGCGGTCAGCAGTAAACGAACCAGCGGGACTAGGCGTCGGCAACACGCACTCTTAGCTTCTGTAGCGTAAATAACCACTCCTTTCGAAAGCTTCAAGTGCTGGAGTACATAAGAAAAGAGGCTATAAGGCCCGGATTATGGATTTGAGCCTCCAGCAGCAGCAGCAGCAGCACGGTGCAATGCCTGGAGGTACTGCAAGTTACTATTACCACCGTGGATCAATGGCCTCTCCATCCCAGCCTGTGTTCCAGGTCCATTTGGGTTCTTTGCTCGGGGATGCTTCTCGTGAACTCTTAACTCGTCAATTTGTTTTTCATTGGGTTCGCACATCGTTTTTATGTTGTATTCTTGTGATATCGTCGTCGATGCCTTCGTCTGTCGTGTTGTGCTGTCGTTTTCCCTTCATGCTTTCCTGTTAGCTGCTCGTCTTATCTCGCTTGCGTTTTCAACCATGATACTTTATTCATTTGTACCAGAGCTCTTCCCTGACCATCACCACCATGGAGAACATCATCTGATGCAGCACCAAGCCTTGGCTAAAGGAGACTACGTAACTGCTTCGAGTCTTCGCCACTTCCAACAATCCCAGCAGCAGGGCCAAAATAATTCGCCGACGTCGCAGCAGCAGCTTCAGGCGTCGCTGGGCTTGGGACAAATCGACCAACATGGCCACCCGATGCCCGTTCTGCACCATCAGCAGTTCCACCATGTTAGCATGGCGCAATCTGCTCAAGCAGCAGCGGCAGCCGCTGCTGCAGCTGTAGCTGCTGCAACCGCGTCCGGATTCCCACCCCAACGAGGCGATCAGCAGCAGGATCAAGATCAGGACCAGCAGGGAGAGCAGGAGAGGCATCAGGATCAGCAAGAGCAGCGGCAGCAGGACCCGAACCAGCCGCGCCAGTTGAGGCCGGGGTCCCCGCAGCAAGGCGGAGCGATGCAAACTGCGGATCCGCAACAACAGGCGCAGCAGGCGCAGCAAGCGCTGCAGAAGCGCAAGGGTCCCGGCGATCCCGCGGCGGGGTCCGCGCTTCACGCCTGCAGCGCGCCGACGGATCTGGCGGGAAACCCGTTGCGCCGAACGCTGTGGATTCGCTTCAAGCACGGGCGGCCGACGGAGGTGGAGCTGGAAGAGGACGAGCTGCACATCGACCACCTGAAGAAACGCCTGAAGCTGCTATTTCCGAAGATGCTGGGCCACGTGGAAGTGTTTGAGTTTTCAATAAGGCACTCTGCTGCGGATCATGGCTGCGTACCCGAGGATTTCCCGTTGGATCACCTGCGGGAGGGGAATCGCGCTGCTGCTCCACTGCTCGTCGATGCGCCGGAGCCAAGTAAGTTCATGCCGTTCGTCCCCCCATGTGTAGCGTTGGATCTGAGGGGTAACTTTTATGGTTGTTTTCAGTCCCACGGCTGGAGTGAGAAGGGATGAGAGCTCACGGATAGGTGGGAGTGAAGTTTCGGTACTTGTTGCTGGTTAGTTGATTGGAAGATGGTGTATCATGGCTGATCTAGGGTCTCGCGTGTTTATGAAGCCAAGGGTCGCTGGGTGGGTGGGTTTTCTTTTTTCCTCTGGTACTGCCGCTGCAGCGTCAATGCACCGTTCGTGGTCCTCGCTGCTCCATTCCGCCTCGGCGTTGGTTGCTGTTGCTGCCCCGACAGCAGCAACGTCGCCCCACAGTCAGGGCTCGTTGCAAGTGCATGGAGCTCATGGGATGATGCCATCCGCCAATGGAACGCTAACTCTGCAGATGGTGCCAACGCCACCGGATAGGCTCACAGGTGCTCGAGACTTGGCTCTTCGGCCTGCCTTACGGCTTGCTGTTGCAGCTAACCGTTTGCCGTCAGCCTGTACAGTAGGCCGTCAGATCCTGTTGCACGTTTTGCAGGACTTGTTTACCGGTTCCTTGATTGTCTCAAGGCTCGCTGCACGAAAGGTTTGGCTGCATTATCACGGTCGAGCATTGGACTGGTAAAATCTGATGTATGCCCGCGTAAGGCGGTGCGGGTAGACCAAGGGTAGGCTTCCCGCCATGTTTTTCTTTCTTTGTCTGTGCGTCTTTGCTTGTTTTTCTGTCTTTTTGGTCGTCATTTGTAAGAGCTTACAATGCTCTTTGGCCAGCTAGGACTCCCACGGTGTCCCCCTTTTGCATCCCGTTTATGGTTACGCTTGCGTTTTTTGTATTCCGTATTGACGTGTTTGCAGCTCCCAACCTTGCATCTGCTGCCCTGGTTGCAGTGGCTCCGCCGGTGTGCCTCGACCCTGCAGCAGGCCCGGGGGGAGTGAACCTCTCATACGTGGTGGACGGTGGCCGCGACGACGCGTTTGGTGCTATGGGCGCGGTACCAGGCTCGCTCGCGGGGAAGGGGATAGGCATGGGCCCAGGCGGGATGGGCGGGGGTGGCATGCACTGCGATCCTGACGATATGCGGCAGCTGTTTCACCCAGAAGCAGCACCGCCGCCCCCAGCAGAAGTCAAGGTCGGAGGGAGGAAACGGAAAAACGCTGCTGGGGGTGGAGCGGGGGGCGCGGGAGGAGCTGGGGGATCGGGTGGTATGGCGCATCTTGGGGCCAACGGGCTGACGGAGATCTCTCCAAATAGTCGCAGCAAGAAGGCAGCGGATGGGCTACACAAGGGGCAGAGCATCATCATGCGTTACAACAACGAGGACGTGGCCAAGGCTCGCATAGTCTCGTGTGAACGGTGAGTCTGGTCGAAAGCCTGTCAGCAGTTCCGCAGTGTATTTGGCCGATTGTCTGGGCCTCTATGGGTAAAACAGTGTCCAAGAGTCCCGTTCTTCATCTGTAGCGAAAACTCCCTGTTGCACGTGATCTAATGCCGTTCTTCATCTAATGCCACTACCCCTCATCTTTTCCGATTTCTTCTTCCTGAATGTGGTTTCCAGGAGTGGATTCTGCAAGGTGCGGCTGCACAGCCTGATAACAGACGGCAGTACGCTGCTGTATGAGAACAGCCTGCCTTCTGGCCTGCGCATCCCGCTCAGTGAGGTGGGCTCACAGGAGTTTTTGTGGCCGCGGGCAGACTGTCGCAGGGACTACTACTCATACAGCGAGAAAGCTGACAACTCGCAAGCCTCTTCTTGAGTCTAATTCGGTGCTTTGGTTCTGCGCGCAACTCTTATAAGCAACTGACCTTTTGCTGCTGCTACCGGGATGCTCCCTTCTCTCATTCGGTCTTCGTCTTTTGGGCTCCCTCTTTGGTCGATGTTCCGCTGAGCAACGGCTGCCAGGAGCATGTGTTGAGGCATGGTTGTTGCCAAGTGAGCAATAAGAGCCGTGTATCTGGTGGTTCTGCTCGTGCTCCTCCTGCCCGCCTGCCTGCTCGGTGTTGTACCCATGACCCATCCTATTGCAACACACTCCACACTCACCTTATCTACGTGTTTCTTCCTCATGGATTCACGCACGCCTTGTCATCCTATCATCCCTTCTCGCGGCGCCCTTATCAGTGGTTACTCACCACCGCCCTCAGTAACATCCCGGGCTTCTCGCTGCTTCTTTTTCAACTCTGGCTCATGGATCTGGCTGACTGCTGGTCAGTTGGTAACACACTGCTGTTGCTTAAGCCTCCTATCTTGTGTCTTAGGTTACTTTCTGGAATTCACATTCCAATTCTCCAAGTTAGGTTGTTTCTTTTGCGGGCGTCTAAAAGGGGTTGCAGATATATGGCTTCTAGCAACTCCTGTTAAGGATCTTGTGCTTTTGTAATACACGTTTTAGAGTGCTTGTGTGATGGGCGTTGGCTAGTCTGTGGAGTGACTACTGGTGTTGAGTGTGGTGGCCATGTGTTCCTACTGCTTGTATTTCGATACGGAGTCTATTAGCTAATATACTGTAAAGAAGCTAACACAAGTCTCCATGATCCTCTGCATTTGAGATAACATTTATTGACAGCTCGGTATTTCCATCGCCATGTGTATTTTAGCAATCGTTTGAAAACTTCCGCAAACAAACACGCTGTTTGGAACCGGGACTTCTGACAACGCGGATGATGCAGCCCAAAACTACTGGCTCTTCCTCTCACACCTCGTAACTTCGGCGGAATCTCAGCCGCCGCTTACGGTGCTTGCGGCATCTTCTTCTGCCTGTCATCTCGCAGCAATGCCTGCGCATGCCGCAACATCCTTCGCCCCTTCCGCGTCTCTCCTCTGCGCACATGTCGCCACTGCTCGGTTCCACGGCGCTCGGAAAATGGCGTCCGCGGCCTATGCTAAGTGCGTAAAGCGTAGCGCGGATCCGTGCGCCAAGGCCAGCGCGCCTGCGCTAATGCGCACCATTCGCGGAGGATCCATTTACGCGCAAGGCTCCCTCGCCGCGCAAGCATCGTGGGGATCCCGCGGTGGCCGCGCCATGGCAGGGTTTGGGGTTTGGAGATCGTGTGTATCATCACGGCTGTTGCACACCGCTAGCGTCGCGCGGTCCTGCGTCGTGCGCTCTTCTAGCGGTAGCAGCAATATCTGCTGCCTCGGTCTCCTCGGCTCTCGTCCTTCTCGCGTTTCTAGTCGCCGTTTCTCCTTCTCGCCTCCCCACCCTCCTCGCGACGGATCCGTCGCATGTCATTATCGCGCTTCGTTATCGCTTTCCACCTCCTCCTCCTTGTTGGCCGCCGCCGCTTCCGCTTCCGGCTCCGCCTCCTGGCGACCTGGCACGCCCTCGCCTCTCCCGTTTGTTCTCTCCGCGGTTCCGACATTTGTTGCGCCATCCGCGCTCCCCGCTTCCGCCGGCTGGGCCAGCTTCCCCGCCGCCGCGACGCTCGCTTCCCCCGTCGATGCTGCGCGCGCGGGCTGGGTGCGCGGATTCGGCAGCTCCGCGGGGGGCTCCGTTGCGCCAAGGCGGAAGGAGCGGCTGCGGATAGTCGATAAGACCGGCGGAGAGGCGAATAAGGCGCTGGGAATAAGAGAGAAGAAGAAGAAAAAGAAGAAGACCGGGAAAGCGGACGAGAAAAAACCGGGGAAGTATTACGGGGAAGGGTTCGGGACGACGGGAGTTCCTCTTGCGCGGAGGTGGGGGGATTACGACAAGCGCCAGTGGGAGGATCCGGAGGGGTGGCGGGGGGGGATCTTAGGCCGCCCGGAGATCTCCGGGAACCGCGCGAAACCGGTGGACTCGGCGACGATGAGGGTTTATAAGAATTGGGGGCGGCTCGAGGATGGGCTGTCGCAGTTGAAAGCGCTGCAGCGGGGGGACGGGGAGGGAGATTCGCGGAGGGGGAAGGTGGGGAGTGGGGGAGCAGTTGCGGAGTGGGGCGGGGGAAGGGGAGGAGGGGGAGGGGGAGGGGGAGGGGGAGGAAGTCGTTATAAGAAGAAGGCTGGAGAATTTAGCTGGAGGCCTGATTCGAACGATTTGCAAGGCGCTCGCGGTGTTGGGGGGAAGGACGATGACAGAGAGGGGGAGGGGGGGAGAGGTGATTGGCGGGAGAGCGGGCGGAGGGAGGGTGGCGGAAGGGGAAGAGAGGAGTGGGGGGAGAGGGGGTTGCGGGGAGAGAGGAGCGAGAGGGGCGGCGGCGGCGGTGGCAGGGGAAGTGGCGGCGGTTGGGGGAGTGAGGGGCGGGAGCGGAACAGGGAGTGGGGTGGGCGGAAGGAGTATGGGGGAGAGCGGGAGTTCGGGGGGGATAATCAACAGGCGAGGCAGTATGAGGGCGGAAGGGAATCAGGGGGGAGAAGGGAGTATGGCGGAGGAAGGGGGGGAAGGGAGGCGGGGGAAGCAACAGGGGGAAGGTCCCCGCGCAGGGAGGCCGGGAGACGGTCTTGGGATGACGTGGATAGTGCCCGTAGTGACGAGGACGCTGACGTCATGGCGTTCTGGTCCAACGTGGACGTGGACAGCCCCCCTGGCGTTGCGCGGAAAGGCGCAGATCAGGGGGCGGGGCGGGGGAGGGTGGGGGGGAGGGGGAAGGGGCGGAGAAAGCGGAGGCGAGAGGGGGGCGGGGAGGGGAGGCGGAGGGGGAGGAAAGGGTTGGTCGCGGGACTATGCGGCTATGGAGTGGGGAGAGGGGCAGGGGGGAGCGGCAGGCGGAGAGGTAGGGGAAGGGGCCGAGGGAAGGGCGGAAGGGGGAGCTGGGCGCGGAAGGGGCATGCTTCCGCGCAGCAGCGCGCCTGGCGCTGGGGGAAGGGGAAGCTGGGGTGCTGCGGAAGGCAGGGGGGATGCGTTCGGGGGAGATGACTGGCAGGGAAGGGCAGTCGGGGGAGCCCCGCGGCCGGTGATGAGGGGAGGGGCGCAGGGGCGCGCAGATGGCGGAATGGACAGGGGGGGATGGGGGGGCCGGGGGGAATTCGGCGGGCGGAACGCGCAGGGCGCAGGGAGGGGGAGGGGGGGCGGCGGACAGTGGGGGAGAGGGGGCGATGGGGGGGAAATGGGGTCACAAGGTGGCAGGGAAGGGGGGTGGGGAGTGAGCGGCGGGGGGAGGGGAGGAGGGAGGGGGGCCGGCATAGGTCCACGGGGAGGGGTAGGAGGTGAGAGGGGGATGGATGGTAGTATTCAGTCTAGCAGCGGGCGGTTCAGAAGGTCTCAAGCCCAGGAGCCTTTCAGAGGTCCCAGCGGGCGGGGGCGGTTCAGTGATGCAGAGGAGGAGAGCGAGAACGATAACAATGATAATATTGACTCTGGTGACTACGACGACGGCGATTACAGCAACAACTATTCCGAGTGGGATAACAGCAACAGCAGCAGCAGCTGGGGGACCCCGTCTCTCACCCCGTCCGCTCTCCGCGGGGAGCCCATCTACGGCGTCTCGCCCGTGCTCGCCGCGCTCCTCTCGTCCCGCCGCCGCATCCACACGCTCTACACGCAGGAAGGGCTGCAGGACGGGCTGAGAGGCGGGGGCAAGCGCAAGGACAAGGCCGCGGTCGAGCGCGTGTTGCGCGTGGCGGAACAGAGCGGTGTAGAGCGGTTGTCGGTGAGCAAGCATGAGTTGAATCTGCTGTCTGGAAACCGACCGCACCAGGGACTGGTGTTGGATGCGTCTGGCCTTCAGCTAGAGCCCATAGAGGCGCTCCCGGTGTGGTCCGCTGGTGCGGCTGCGGCTGCACGCGCTGCTGCTGCTCTGGGTGGTGCGGGCGCAGGAGAAGCAGGGGCGGAAGCTGGGGCTGCAGGGACGGCAGCAGGGCCGGCAGGGACAGGGGCGGCAGAAGGGGCGGCGGCAGGGGCGGCAGGAGCGGCAGTGGCGCCGCCGGTGTGGGTGGCGCTGGACGAGGTGACGGATCCGCAGAATCTGGGGGCGATTCTGCGGTCGGCGCACTTCCTCGGGGCGGCCGGCGTGGTGGTGTGTGCTAAGAACTCCGCCCCGCTCTCTGCTGTCGTGTCCAAGGCCAGTGCAGGCGCGCTGGAGATCATGCAGGTACGCCGTGTTTGATCTTATGCTGAGAGCTGTCTTGGGGCATTTTATCGGCCCTCCGCTCTCCGCTCTCTGCTGTAATGTCCAAGGCCAGTGCGGGCGCGCTCGAGATAATGCAGGTAAAGCACGTGGGAGCTGCAGTGGGATGCGGAGTGAACTGATGTGTGTATGCTGAGAGCTGTAGTGTGAGGTAGGGTAAATGGCACGGAAGCTGTAGTGTGAGGTAGGGTAAATGGCATGGAAGCTGTAGTGTGAGGTAGGGTAGATGGCATGGAAGCTGTAGTGTGAGGCTTGGTGAAAGTTTGCTCCGAGAGCCCTTTTGAGCCCTGCTGAGTCTTTTTTGAAGATCTCCAACACTCGCCTGCATTCAAACGAGTGAGGGCCCTGTGGTGTGTGTGTGTGTGTGTGTGTGTGTGTGTGTGTGTGTGTGTGTGTGTGTGTGTGTGTGTGTGTGTGTGTGTATCTGATGGGCTCGGCTGTTTACCATGACTTGTGAACCACCATAAACCCACGGTGATGCGTTTCCTCGCCCGCACTGCTGAGTTCTGAGTCAACTCTAAACATGTCCCTCTTCGTCCCCCCCACCACCCCCCCTGCCTCCCTTGGGCGTCTCCCCCCCAGGTGCACGAGTGCAGCAACATGATGCGTTTCCTCGCCCGCTCCGCTGCCAACGGCTGGCTGGTGGTGGGCGCAGCCGCGGACCCTTCCGCCATCCCCATCTCCCGCCTCTCCTCTGTAGGCTCCCCCACAC